TTTAACACAGACGGGTAGAACAACTCGAATAGTTAAAATGAGTACGTTTTCCTATTTGAACCTACCTGGTACATTCGACTGACACCTGGTAGCAGTGCTTACTGATAAACCTGAACCTTAAAATATGATCTGTCACCCGCTTACCAAGGGTTTTTTTTTAAGGGGGAAATTCATCGAATGACTGCTCCCGTCTGGGTGAGGCGGAAGGGAGTGTCAGATTCTTACTGACTAAAAACCACCCCGTTCCTTCTCCTGCACGTCGAGCCGGAGGGGTTCTCCGCGACAGCTTACCAAGGGTACAGGTTATGACAAATCCTCTTATATCTTAAGTAGAGGAGACACATAGTCGAGCAGTGAATACTCACTGGCTGTTGATGTTGAGTAGAATAACGTACATACATACTTGTATCGACACATAAAATAGTATTCCACGACAGACGACAAACTGTTGTGGCAGTTACCCAATACGTAATTACCGACACGTAAAGTGTTAGTTCCGCAAACTTTGACGAACTCATACATTCCCCGCACAAAGTGTAACATACAAAGTTTAATTAGCAAGTGTACGGATCTGGTATTAACAGAGGGGTATTTGCTAACTTACGCTAACTTGTGTTAGGAACATACTGCATGAAGACATTTTGCTAACAATCTGCAGGTACTGAAGTTAAACTCGATTGTTAAGCAGGAGTATTTCTACGTAATCTCTAGAGGAATGCATGCATTGATAAGTTTGTGTTGCTTAGAAACGGTAGTCGTGAGCGACCGTCTTATGAGTTTGAACCCGACAAGCGTCCTTTGTGGCATTCATTTCATTACCTACCCATGAGATACTGAAGATACTATTGGACCATAGAAGATGACATAAGAAAAAATCTTCAGATTGAAATCCACTACACTTTGAGTTAAAAACGGGCGTTTTACAATATAAAAACATATTTAATGCATTATTCTATAAGTTATCGCAGTACCATTCCCTCAGTAAAACTACCAATTTACATGAACTAGTCGATCTGCATAGTTCACTTGGGAAAACCGACCGATAAGATCTTCTTTTACACTGTAAAACACGAACTGTTAATGCTGTTACTTACTGTCTTAATTTATGTACCAGTGGCGAAAGGAATTGCAAATTATGCGAGAAACAAAGGAAACTAAGCTATAAAAGGTATAAAGGCAAGGGATCGAGACGGCGTGCGCCACAATTACCAACTTTTATTAGACTTTAATAGGACCACGCCAATTACATTACTCGTAGCCCTAGACTAGACAGCGAAAAATCTTATATTTTCAGCTTTATCTATACTTTTTAAGTTATTATATTTTCTAAAACATTTCTTCTAGTCTACACTTTTTTTAAGTAACACAATTTCCTTTAATCATTATGACCGCGACGCTACGCGATAGTATTAAAAGTCGGATAAGTTACATTCAATATATACTTCTAACAAAATCTTTACCTAATATTTTAGCGTAGATATCAAAAACTCAGTCTAACGTATGAAAAATACAACCTGCCGTTGTATTTTTTGCTTGCTATAAAAATACAAACTGAACTATGAAATTTAAAAAATGTTCTTACCTACGTATAAACCCCAATAACTGAACGTCGACTTTAATGAAAAGTCTTATTGCTTTTTCTGTGTATTTTTTTATCAATACGATTTATAGACTTGTGAATTATATTTTATTCATTCCAGAATACTTTACGGATTTATTTCATTTTACAATACTGCGAAGCAGAACTTTGATGAAAATTTTAATAACAGTTTAATAAATATTTTTTCTATTTTAATAATATAATCGCAATAAAATAGAAATGCCTCGTTGGCATCAGTAAAGAAGGAAAACTAGTGACCGATTTCCAAGTAATTGCTCTCGCGATCTTTCAATTTTTCAAAATAGCTTCTAATTGCAAAACGTAATCAGTTAACATTACCTACCAATGAAAAGTGTGCATATTTAAGTAACACCTCACCTGAGTAATAAACATATTTTAAAAGCCAACTCTGTTAACTTAATTATTAATAACCATAGTCAATTCCACGAATAACTTATTGAAACTGTAGAGATTATTACCTTCACGATATATTTCAATACCAACAAAGGTAAAAGGAACTAAGATTCAAACTAAGTTCCCCAATTTTAACTTAAAGGGTACAAACTGTCGACGGATATTAAACAATAGAGGTCTGTAATTGTAGATAAGTTGGGTTGAACGTCCTACGTGACCGAAAGTTCCAGCTAATCAATTCAAAGTGAGGGAATTAATTTATTCTGTTGACTATGATTTGTGATTCTACGCTGCTAATCTGATTTTAATTTTGTAATTGTCGTAAGTTGTAGCCTGTTTTAGTAGGCACGTCTCGCCCTTCGTGAAATGTTTTAAGTACAACAATAAAATCTGGGCTTATAGAGAAATGATATCTATTGCAAATCTACTTGAAGGATGAAATGATACTGGGTATTTTTGTTTCAATGTTTTTGATAGTTATTTGTGAAATATCTGTCATTTAAATGAATGTGAATAATTTCTTTGAGGTGTAAATAAGTTTGGTGGTAAGTACAGATGTACTTATAGTGTACTTATCACCAAACTTATGACACCTCCTACGTAGATACGTAGGAGGTGTCATAAGAACGTGGTGAGTACGAAAAGAAATTCATGAATTCCTCCGATAGGGTAACCGAAAATCATACCATAAGTTTAAACATTTTTAAAGAATTTTCCCAACAAAATCTCATCTCCAAAGCATCTTAGGAACAACAGGTGTGCGATATCAAAGGTATTTGAGGAAAGGACAGAGGGACGGCCGACTTTAGGTCGGGACATATCGCACGGCCGGAATCGTTTTCTTTAAGAAATAATCCGATGGGCTCGTACCCAACAGTTTTATGCTCCAGAGATTGCCATGAGAGGGATTTGAATAAAATGAATGTAAAAATCCTGTCGACAGAACGACGTATTCAACTGATATCGTACAGGATAAAAGTGCTCATTCGTCTACCGAATTATTAATATCTACTTCGGTGAGGAAAATTGGAGTTTGTTTGAAGTCTAGTCGTGTATTGAAAGCAATATAATCTGCAATTCGTGGAAACAAAGCGCAATATAGAGGTACAATAATTTACGTTAAAGTTTATTACGGATGTGAATTATTGCCTACTGACTTCGATATAACGCGATTACCTACATAGGATAATTAATAAATTGGAATATAATGAAAAGCACACGCTATAGAATTTTAATAAACTTTAAAGTTGTTAATATATTTTAGTTTACCGCCTAGTTGACGGCCTCGTTGGCCGAGTGTTCGCAAGTGCGACTGTTGGTCAAGGGGTCTCAGATTCGATTCCCGGGTCGGGCAAAGTATTACTTGTTTTTTTTTTAGTAGGAGCACGGAATCTGGATTTGTGCCCGGTATCTGGCAATAGGCTCACTCCCTATTACATGGGACTTATAATTTAAATAGTGAAAAGAGGGTGTTACATTGTATAATGGCAGTAAGTGCCGTAATGTGCATATCTGCCTACCCCTTCGGGGTTACCCGAGCGTACGGCGCGTCGCGTACCGCACGCGCCTCAAAGAGCCATCAGACCACCACAGATGGGGCCCAATAGGGCCGATGCCGATTCGGAGTCGCGGAGAACCTAACGGGTAACCGGGGCTCCGGCTCGACGTGCAGGAGAAGGAACGGGGTGGTTTTTAGTCAGTAAGAGTCTGACACTCCCTTCCGTCTCACCCAGGCGGGAGCAGTCATTCGATGATTTTCCCCTCTTAAAAAAAAAGAAAAAGAAACCCTTCGGGGTTAAAAGGCGTGATGTTATGTTATACTGTAGTTTACCGCAAATATCAAGCTTCCCCGGGCGATGTTTTCAATTCCTTGTAATCGCAATTACCCAACGATTTTGACTCGATCTCATACAAATCGCTTACTCCACCACCCCTATGGTACCCATATATTGCTGTTTGAAGTCCCACATTCGATTTTACCGTCGAACGATAAACGTTGGCAATAAAACGGACCTCTGACGATTGGCAAAATTATGACTTCATTTTATTAGATGGCCCGTATAGCATAATAAAATCGAGATCTCTTTTTGCAATTAAGTTTACCTTAAATGCCCTTCAATAAAGTCTACATTTAAAAAACACATCATTAGATATACGTTTAACGTAAGTACTAGAATGCCGGCGATATAGAAATAAAATCATATTTTAAATGTGATCTTATTCACGGTTCATTTGTTTTCCGAGTCTCAGAAAATTCGTTCAGTAATTTTTGCTCGAAAGAGTAGCATTTGATGTACCATACTATCGCCTTTGTAGTGGGAATAACACTTATAAACCTTCCCTTCTACCTTGAGTTATGATTTGCAGTCATGATATCATCATCATCATTATCATCATCATCATCATCAGCAGAACACTGCACCTCAGAATGAACTATGTATGTACTTCATTTAAAAATATTTTTAAATAACATCATAAAACCTTTTATGTCTATCAAAAAACTTTCATTGATCAGAAACGTCCATAAAAACTTTTATTTTAAATCCTTAATCCTGTCCATAATCCCTATTCGTACTATAAGAACCTCGTAAAGGGTTATTTAAAAATTCAGAACAAGTAAGTACTTATTCACATTAAATCGGTCATATTAATTCGTCGAGCGAATTTTTCAGGACATAACTCAAACTTAACTTAAAATCCTTGAAAATAAATCAGAGTATAAAGAAATTAAAATCTCATTACTCATAGCTATTATTAAGTAGGCATTTCTCTTGCAAACTCCCTTTAATAAGTCATCCATCACCAATTATTCAAGCATTTATTCGTCAATTTACGTGATAAACTTTTTCAACAATTTGTCTTAAACCAAATTGCGAAAAAGTAGAAATTTGTCATCGAACTTAAAAAATTCGAATTCTGTACTACATGTAATGTATTAACGGTAATTATTCAAAAATAGTGTTAAACAAAGATAAAAATCACTTACCGATCATTATACCCGGCACGGATAATTAATCCTTACCCTTTACAAAGATACTTTAAAAAGTTTTTGACACCGTTTTAATTAGGCAAAAAATGCCTGAATTTATTTAATGTCCATATAAGGTGTTAGAGGTAAAGGCGCAACCACTAAACTCAGCCCTTTATAGCCCGCCAAAAGGGAATGGGTTAGGGAAGTTCGCGCGCTGAGTGCCCCGAACCGACTGAATCGTATCCGGGATGGCTTTTCCCGATTTTCCATGAAAGTACAACTTTGGGGAGGATGGCACACTCGGATCTCTCGGGAGCGAAATTTACATCAGACAGCGCCATCTATGTTTCTGTGGCGTAAATGGACCACGACATCTATAGTTGTTGCTTCGAACTAGTCATTTGTGCTGCTATGTAGCAAACGTGCATTATCCAAATGTTTTATCGTATTGTTGGTTATGATAGCTGTACAGATGGCTCTGAAGAGCTCTTCAGGAAAAAGGTTTTGTAATTGTATTAAGAAAACGAAATATGGATGACTAAATCTGTAGTTTGAAAATATGATTTTCCTTTTTTGTTAATAATATAAGGAAAAAGGAAAAGATGTACTAAATCTCTACATATATGCCGCCTATACTGGCTATCACCCATAAGTGGTGCAACATTAAAGTGGTCTTAATTGAGCATGTCATCAACTGCCAAAAATATTATCTCAAATTAATGAGGTAGGTTGCAACTGGTGTTGAGTATTTTATGTCTTTATATTTATTATTAAGAAGCGGTTACTTCGTACGGGTGCTAATTGGGACGATATAAACTAAAAAAAAAGATTATACTGACATGACAACGTGCCATTTGTTTTAATTTCGGTGACCAATCAATTTGCCCTGTCTTTCTGACGAAATAAATAGAGCAAGCAAAAAGAGAGGACTTTTTTAAATATTTTGTAAGTAATTTAAACTATTGAAAATAACATTTGGGAAAAAAAATTGTGAAAATGGTAAACTGTCTAAACGTTTTTATTATCTAGACACCTATTCATTATTATTAAGTCATTCGATCATTTGTCAGAATATAACGTAGCAAACTTTTCAAAATATGTATATTAATTGACTGCACGGTTTTGGAAACCGGCTGCCGTGCAAGGTGTCGCGGGTTCGATTCCCGCACGGAACAGCACTTTGTGTGATCCACAAATTGTTGTTTCGAGTCTGGGTGTCATTGTGTATGTGAACTTGTATGTTTGTAAACGCACCCACGAAACAGGAGAAAATCCTAATGTGGGGCAACGATTTTTTTAAAAAAAAATCATTAAAGTAGAGGAATAAAATATTTATAGTAAAGTAATGGTTATCAATAGGTACAATTAAAATAAGGAGGAAATTCAATTAACCGGGGAGGTTTTAGTGAGGTTAAAGTCCCACACTACCTAGTCTTTTTCTCTAAAAAGCTAGGCGCCTTTTGAAGGTTTTCCCCCTTCATCAAACAAAAAAAGGTATCATCATCGATCGTTATGATTTGAAATTTCTCTATTTTTCTTAAAAATTGTTACCTACACTGACGCCCGAATACTGAAAGTCGACTCAAAGTTGAATTGTACTTAAATATCGTACCATGCCTGTTATTTTACAAAGAATTTACCTATAGTGATAGTAATTATACTTTATATAGAAACTTGCAGAATTATACTTTAAGCGAGACTTATACTTTAAGCGAGACTTAAAGTATAATTCTGTAGCATTTTGGTATTCGGGCATTAGTGTAACAATGTTAACTTTTTGTTGTCATCCTTTTTAAATGCAGTGTGACGTAAAACATCTGTCATAAATAATTGTTTTCAGCGATTTAAATAACAATTTTTGAAGTTAAAAACTAACTAAACGTTAACTTGCGAATAAACATAATTAAACTGGAATATTAATGAGCTACTTAACGTTAGCTTATACATAGTAACACCTTGAATGTCTGGAACCAAAATTCTAGTTTTATTAGACGGAAATCAATGTATTCAAATGGCAAATTAACACTATATATACACAAATACACATGTCTAATGACGTCTTTATATAAAAAAGTTTTGAATGCTAGTAGTTGGTATTTTAAGCTGTTATCTAATCGTCGGCATTTGGTTAACATTCACCTATTATTAACTTGTGTCTTATTGTAAGTGATAACTTAATATTATTACGTCTGATTCCGCCTAATGACTTCATTGCCTACTTAAGCAAATTTCTAATTAGATATTACTACACCCACAGTTGTAATTTTCATAAGTTCTACAGTGTGGCAAAATAACATAACATCTCCCCTTAAACCGCTGAAGGAGTAGCTTTGCCTACTCCTAGACATTACGATTATAATGTAGCATACTATTTTCACAAATTAATGTTATAAGTCCTTGTAGTAGAGGATAAGCAGTGAACATAATGCTTACTAACATAGTTATTAAGATGATTCGTATTTTTTTTGTTACTAAAACAGTGGAGCTTTTATGTATGAAATTAATGATTATTATTGCCACATGGCAATAATAATCATTACATATACCATATGTAATACATATACCAGGTATACATATACCAGGCGCCATTTTAGAAATGCAGTGCTATAGTCACTTGTTTGCCCGTTTAAGTAAGACAATAAACAATACATTGTCTCGTGTGGATTCCCGGTCTAGCACACCACGGATTAATAATGAATACATTTTCCAGAACTATTAAAATCGCAACTGGTTGCCCATCGAAAGAATAGAGGTAATAACAAATATAGTTAATTTTGTCGTCGTCCCGAGCGTAGGGCGCGTCGCGTTTGCGCGCCTTAAAGAGTCATCAGATCACCACGGATAAGGCCCAATAGGGCTGGTGCCGATACAGAGCCGCAGCGAACGTAAAAGATTCGGGGGTCCGGGACGAATTGCAGGAGTAGGAACGGGTTGGTTTTTAGTCAATAAAAGTCTGACACTCCCTCCTGCCTCACTTAGGCAGGAGAAGTAATTCGATGTTTTTCCCCCCTTAAAAAGAAATCCTGTCATCACCACACGACTTCATGTAATTATTTTTAATGGACAATCCTTAATTACGAAGGAAATCCTTGCATACTACTCTTAGGTACTACCTAAGAATAGCCACCCGTTTGACTCAGAGGTCAAATGGATCTAATTTCACCTAACGTTTAAGGGCTCAATTAACAGACGTAGGTATAGGATTTAATTTTACCAATTTGAACTGGTATACAGTATACTCTACTTAGTACGGGCTCATATCTCATATTAATTGTTGAATTAAATAAAAGTTCGTTGTTAGATAACAAGAAACTTTAATTTCGTGGGTGCATTTAAAAATTACACAGCCACCTCCAGTTTAGTAGCGTTCGGACACCGAATTTGTTAAACTTCGTACAGCGATCGGTTACTCCGAAACCACGCTAACAATACAATCTCTAGGAAACAAAAACTATAGTAGTAAAAGAAAGATTCAATATTAGCCTGCATACAAAAACAATGGATGCAAGCCACACATTGCATTCAAGAGGTGAAGCTGCCAAATGTTCTCAGAGAAAAACAACACGCATTAAATACTTGTCTCGTACGATTACAATTACTATTTTTAACCTACGATGTCTCACGTCACGTCTGGTGACGGGATTTCCTATCTAGTATTTTTTTACCATCTTACATTGACACATCTTTTTTGAACTGATATTTCTCTCCACCATAACGATTTGGTTTTGTTTCTTTCAAAAAGTATTTTACTCATTAATGTGAATTGTTTATTATTAATAGTATCTATTTTTACTACCTACCTAAATTTAATTACGATTTTATATATTTGTACGCCAAAACGGCATAACATGCAGCTCGTATATCTATATCTTAACACCATTGCATGTACTTTTGCAAAAAATATCTTTCTCTTTTTTTTCTTTATGAAGAACACAATAACAAATACAGGTACTTAACATTACCTACGCCTTGTATTCATACCGTCTTACATGTGTAACATTAATTTTTACCTATAATGACTGAAGTTAAGTAAAATTCAATATCCAAGAAATATTACTTTCTCACACTCGGGATTTATGTTCGTGAGTACTGACTGCTAGGGAAACAGGGTACCTAAAATAAAATATACAACAAAAATATTTCCTAACTTAACTAATATGACAAAAATAATAATTATAATTGGTTAGTTTCCAGGGTATCAAAATTAAAAATCTAATTAGTCCGTCGGTTAGATAATGAAAAAATATTAGGACACGTATTTTTTATTCTCGTTTTAAGTTGCATAATATTTAGATAAATTGGCGCTAAGTTTAGGAGTGGGAGGTCGTTACGTCATAACGTGCTACAAAATGTGGCACGCTGTGACGTCACACGATATTTCAAATTAATATATCGTCGAAAGTATTTAATTTTGTGAGAAAAGAAAAATACGTGTCTTAAGTTTTAAATTAATGTATAAGACGGATATTAAAATAAAATTTAGGAAACTACCCTATTTAATACTACCACTAATGAAGAAATTCAGTTAAAATGGCAATAGCAAATACTGGAACGCTTCACATTACTGAAATGGCTACCAATAAATAAAAACTACTTGGTCAAAGGGCTATGAATCATAGCTCGCGAGGGATATAAGTGATGAAGTGTAGGAAATATCATGTGCTTTCCTACTTCCTCCCCAGTAGGGGGATGTCAGTATAAGGGAAGTGGACATCATAAGCGACACTGATTGGTAAAGCCTCGTTGAACACTATACCTACATGAAACGGATAAGTTTAGCCTTTATATTATTTCGTTATGTTTTAGTTTTCCAGGTATTAACGTAAATAGAAGTTGCATTTATGTTTGCAATTACAATATTGATGTGCAATATGTACAATAAGCCATAATTTAGGGCTAAAATATTGTGTAACATCTGTTAAAATTATACTCTATACACAATTTTAAAAAATTTTAAAAATAATGTTACTAACTCGGGACATCGAGCTCGGCAGTTGCACTCGGGATCACTAAACTAAAATACATGTACACCTTTAAATAAATACGACATGTAAATGGATTTTTTTTAATTTGGAACATTAACTTTTGGTTAATGATACAGTCAAAGACGTGATAGTTATAAAAGTTATTTAACTGTATCACAACTATCAATATTCTTCCAAAGAAGACAAGACAATCAATCGTTTCAGATTTAAAACTATTAAAACTAAGTATCTCAACAATATTAAATGAGCAAAACGCACACACGCGTTCGAATGCATATGAAAGCATGTGCGTGCGGTAGTGTGCGCGCACGCGCTTTTGTGTATGCGCATTTGCGAGCGTGTGTGTTGTGTTTGGGAGTGTTAGTGTGCAATTGTGTGTATATGTGCGTGTGACTAAGTGATTCGATTGTGTAGTAATTAAACCACAATTATTTCAGTTTCTTCGTAAGACAATGATTTGAACTCCTCAACCAGATTCATCTTTAAGAGACTACAGGGTAGACAGTAAATATCTATAACCTTATTTATGTATGTCTGATAATTATGTATAATTTAATCTTAATTCATAACTTCACATTTGTTGTAAGCTGAAATTTCAGGATTAGCAGCTCATTTTCGATCTATCCAAAATTTTCTAACCTTCATTTAATGGCTATCACGAAACTATTCCACAGAGGTTTTTCTTAGAGAACCTCAACATGTGCACCCAGTTAATCTTCCATAATGACCATTTCAACTATGTAATTGTAGTCGGTAAAACTTCTTCCCCAAATAAATTAACGACCTCACATTTAGTGGGTTGTCTGATCAGAAAATTGTGGCTACCGTGTTTAACATGCCTCAAGTTACATTTTACGCCTGTAAATGCTCCAAAAACTTTTATCGTGTATTTATTACACAAATGAAATTCGAAATAATAATACAAGGAAACCGAATTCAACACCCAGTGGTTGTGATGCTGGCAGAAGCACTTGTAGCCAATCTTATATAATAATCTTATATATTAATAATTAAATGTCTTTACATAATCATTAAAATTTTTACATTATTAAATTCCTAGAAACAGGAAAACATATCATTGAAAATAAATACAATAAACTGGGTATATAATACCTACTTCAAATATGAATGATTATATATATTTTTCGACAAAATAAATTCTGTATAAAAAATAACGCTGCATTATATATTTTTCAAGATAATGCTAATATGAATAAAATTAAGTAATATATAGAAAATACACAAAAAAGAACAGGAAAAGTTAACACGTAAAATAAAAACTATTACACAACGCATTCAAATAATATATTATGCAAAATAATATAAAAGTAAAAAATATTATTCTCCTGTGTTTATAATTCCGTTTTAAATAACTGTACCTCACCTTGGCATTAAATAAATAAATTTATTATTATTTATTTCGCAATTCAGACCTCAGACACTGCTGTATCATTTGAGGTAGGACTTAATTTACAAGCATTAATGCAGTTCCTTGTGAATAAATAAATAAATAAGTAAACTTTTTTATACAGGTGTACGACTGATTACTATCTAATTATTTAACATACAATCAGTATTTAAGACCTTCACCGTTCTAAGGCTAGACACACAAATAAAATTATCTTAAAAAGTAGCTGAATATTAATGCTAAATTAAAATATGACTGCATTTGGTAGTTTGACGTCAACACGGCTATATTTTACGTTATTATCTTTAATTTCATTTCAATATTGGCTAGTAATACGGGTTATTCATAAGAATTAAAAAAATATTCTAATATCTATCAAATTATTAGAAACTCAATTAAGTAGGTATTGACGACCATAAAAATGGTTTTGCAAAACAAAACTCAATCGTTCAAGGCTACGCCAATTTTGGGGATGTTGCTACGTGCTACGAGTTCGTAGCAACTAAAAAACCCTTACATGTTCTATTGGCGTTTCACAATTTTGTACCAAGACCAAACACTTTTATAATCAAAATATTACTAATATTAAATACTTGTGTTACTATATTTTCATAAACTGAAGTTTTAAGTTTTAGAAGTTAAGGTTGCTACGACCACGTAGCACCATGACAAGTCTTATATAGTTTTATGCACACTATCTTTGCATGTTTATTTGTTGAGATTAAATAATTGAATATGTCCATTTTAATATTAAAACAGTCGTTTATTTCAAAATGTTAACTTGCCATTACTAGCTACTTGCATCAGAACGCAATATTCGAACTACGCCCGTGCTACGACCGCGTAGTCAATACTTTCAAGTTTTCAGTATTTCGTTTTCGATTGATATATATTTATTTTTAATTACTATTCCAAAATTCTTTTTCAAAAATAAGTGGCCATTGTAGGTACATTATGCATTATCGAGTTTATGTCAAAAAACTTAAGTTGCTGCTACGAAAGCGTAGCTCGTAAATGAACGAATCAACTTGTTTTCGATTTCTTTTCCTGTTACTTTTTAGTTTTTTTAATTATACAAATAGAAAATTTGCTACAAAATTCTAAAGAAAACTGTTACGATATTGTTCAATAATTTGGTGTCTGGGAAATTAAATGACATATGTATGTAAAGTTTTGTATAATTATATACGAAATATTAATTAGAACATAACATAACACGCCTTTTATTCCCGTAGAGGTAGGTAGAAGTGCACATTACGGTACTCAATGCATTTATTAGAAGTTTATACCTAATACTGTAATTAATTACCACGCCATTGTTATTTTAAACTTTGTAGCTCTTGTTGAGTCACTGTAAGACTCAGATGAGTTTCTGGAATAATCGGTACTTTTTACCTACTAGCGAGCTGACGGACGGATGAAAGCTTTACATAGAAAATAAACAACAATAAATAACAATTACTTATATTATTGTAATTGAACCTATGACTCACATTCTCAATGGAAATTTTCAAGATTCTTTGAACTAGTTAAGTCGGCACAAACTTAATACTTTTAGTAGCGTAAAATGATATATGATATGTGTACATGCTTACTCGGATTAATACGCTAACTACATACTTAGGTACATACTAATTAATTCCCATCATGGCGGTCGTACGCGTGTAAATAATTGTATGTAAACATCGAAGCATGCAGCGACTGCTTGATAGTGTTCTACACGCGTTTCCCGCTATAACCTAACTTTGAAGAATGACGTGAACTAGGAACGATACCGATGAAATAAAATGTTAGCTGAACTGAAGCTGAAAAAAAGTTTGGTAAGTGTTTGAAAGTTGTGTGAAGATGCGTGCAGGACAGTGTAGTGGCGAGTACGTCCGAGATGGCGGGCGCGCGCGGTCATACGACGCCACTTCTCTCTATCAGAGCCCTCCGCCGCCCTCCTCTCCGCGGCCAGCGCGGCGCCCGCTGAGCGGAATTTGCACAAGCGGCGCGCCTCGCGACGCGGTTCAGTGTACGTGCGACCGCTCGCGGCCGAGGACGAATTGCCGCGTCACGCGCACTGCTCTGCTTATTACGCAGTTAAAACTATCGCTGACCGCGTGGACTGTCGTGAAACTACTTTTAGTGACTTTTAACTTGTTCTATGCCCCAAATAACCACATAACAAGTGCATACTCCCCTTATGGACCCAGTGATAACTCTTATCAGTGTGGAAAAGTTACAAAGTGTGTACCGAACTTGGAAGAACATACGAATTTATGAATTCTTGGGACTTTTGACACTGTTGATGACCTAGGAGGACAGTTTACCCATAGTTGGCCGATTCGAGCCACGTTACAAGGTTATCGCGTCTCTAGCCCGCCAGTGATGAATTGGAAAATCGGCGCGTAGTCGCTCACGTGGTGTGCGCCCCGCCCCCGCCTCGCCCGCGCTTATATTTAGCGAAAATCGCCTCTCGGGAGCGGCCCGACGGCCGACGCTCTTTGCGCACATCGCTGTTTATGAACGTTAGCGAGACGCCACATGTTATTGGCTTCGAATAACAAAACCGATAAGCAGAAGACAGATAACCTCTCCGGATCGCGATCCGTGTCCGAAACTTCTGGAAATAGAAAGAAATCAGAAAAATATTAAAAAGAGAGCGCTCTGAGATGCTAACGGCCGGTATCGGCACGCGCCGGTGAGCGCTCATTCCGACACACCTACCAAAAAATTCCACTACTAAAGTTTTCGAGAAAAAGTGTGCAACATGTCTCTTCAGGGGAGCGGTGGTTACCAGAGCCCGTGGTCGTCACAGGGTGGGCACTCGGAGTTGGACAACACGATTGATTTGGAACCTTTGGGCGAACTAACAGAGGTCGGTTTTGAACCGCAGACGCGCGCGCGATCCAACACGTGGCCGCTACCAAGGCCAGACAACTACGTCGAAGCGGCTGACGACACTGGCTCCAAGAAGAACTCCAATCAGAATCTGAGTGGTAAATACTATTTGTCCAACCAAGCGATAGTAGTAAGGTCGCAGTCGCGATACGCGCTGCTATTTAGGTCGGCCACCGACTATGTAGGTAGTCCGAATACACTTCTCGTGTAAAATTCCAATAAAAAAACAATTCGTTCTATGTATGATGATATGATGAACGAAAAACACATTGTTTGTTTACCTGTGTAGTTACGATCGTAGGTACTCTCACGCGTAGATAATGAATCGGTCGGTACACCTACCTGTGACACACCACGAGTTTGACAATTATACACTTAGCTGTGTGTATACAAATAAGCAGCAAAAACAATGATATCGAAATTGTTTGCCCTGCACAAATTCAACAGATGATAGCATAAATGTATGAAATTCAATAGGCCTACGACGTAGCCACGTAGTGTCAACGTGATACGTAAATTCTCGATCTTGTCTACATATTTTTTAGGTAAAGTTTTATTTTTCTCGGGGCGTACTTCCTACAACAAGTTTGTTTTCATAACTTCTTAGACTATTATCTCCATATTTATTTATCTTAAAATATTTTAATAATTATTATTATGTTTTTGGAAAAACGCGTTATCATATGATTATCGAAATATTCCAGTAAATAGTATATGACCTTTTCGTTGTTTACATTGCGATCATACATTGTAAGTACATATTAACTTATCTGCTTATAAAATCTAAGTGCGTATTTTGCATTATATTCACAGAAATCTTACTCATGTGTGCAAAATATTTACATGAACATGTGAAAGTCTATAAATTGTAATAATATACGAAGACCTAAGGAAAATGAATACTAAAATAATGAATAATTAGCAGGTACTCCATAATATAACACTCGCTACTTAGTACGTACATATACATTCATACAAACCACTGAAAAACCTAATTTATTAAATTTACTAATATAATGATGGTATACCATGTCATGTCCAGAAAATATTAAGAATTCAAGGAACATTTTAATATCGAAGTAATCAGAGCGTAACGATTACCAGCTATCCCTATTACCTGCAGACTTAAGTAGAACCTATATCATATCCGTATTCATATTCACGGGATCGACACCTGCATTAAAAGATATTCAGAAAAAAAATAGAAAAAGACTTTTAAAAGATTTATTTATTTGTATTTTTGGGCATTATTTATAAAAATATCTACTTATTGTACCTACTTAAAGATAAAGTAAATTTTGAAATATAAATGATTAAAGAGAATTATTTTTATGTTTCATTCATATAAAAATAATGGATATCTATAACCGTATGTGACTCACACTTGTTTCCCTAAAACTGAGAATTTTGAAATCATGAAATGCAATACTATGCCTATAATTAATATTGTTTTGAACGTAAAAAAGAAATATATTATTAACGTACATCATAATTACTAAAATAGTATGTAAATATGCAATTAATGAAAACAGTAAAACCCCATGATAAATCTATCAAAAATCCAATATGCGTAATATAATAAGGAAAAATTGAATTTAAACTTATACTTCTATATATAATAATTATATTCCCAATGCTGACGTCATGAACGTATAAAATACTGTAAAATAATAATTAAACAACTGTGTTATAGATTAATAACATGCTTATTGAAGAATGAAAATTTATAATCCGACTGTTTGTGCACAGATATTAACTATCTACGAAACATAGACTATAAGCATATACGGAATATTGGGAAACCCCTTAGAATAATATCATATAAAAATCTAATTAATTAATGGCTTTAACAAATAAATAATGAAGTACTTATTGGATAAATAATAATAACAATAACAAATAGAAAACTAAAGCATTTGCAATAAATTTTAATACTAGGTACTGCCCGCGACTTCGTACGCGCCGTCCCGTTTTCTCCCGTTCCCGTAATATTAAGAATTTTTTTCTGTCATAAGAACCTTCCCTTGACAATATAACAAACACCACAAAAAAAAAATGTAAAATCGGTCCAGCCGTTCACGCGTAATGGCGTGACCAAGCGATATGGAGATTCATTTCCCTTAACCTGTTGAAAACTGTTGAAAATCATCTCCTAAACTTGTTCATACAAAAGTAGTCTCTAAATATTGGAAATAAGGTCTATAATGTAGTTAGTGGACAGCGGTCACCGGTGACCACTTGGGGATATACGGGTATGACAAACTTTTTAGTTATGAAACTGATTTTACAAGACATTTCATAAAAAAATATGCTACAACATTTCTAATATAAATACGCGTATAAACAACTCAGGCGCAGGTGAAGAGACTTGCTATAAAGCAAAATATTTTTTAAAACCATTCATTGTCAGTAAAAACCGGTAAAAACAAGGATTTTTACAATTTATGTATTGTTTTGGTATTATATTTGAGGTTATTTTCTACTTACATAATCCTTTAACCGTATCCTTTGAGGGTTTTCTGATAAATAGGAAACTAAACTTTGTAATTTAAGTAATAGGGTTTATATTAACATATATGTTGTCAGTCCTAAAGCAATATATCATAATAAATGTACGTTTTACTTGTTTATTACATATTGCAGTGCACTCACACTCTACACGTGTTAAAACATTGCTTGCATATACTTAGTGCTAATCATATATATTATTTTGATATAGCACTGACAAGATATTCACATTTCAATGACATATAGTCAACTCTTTCCATAGTTTGTTTTGGTAGCTAGGTATTTAAAAAGCAAATAATGTTTGATCACTGAACATTCCCGTAGGAAACTATATTACTTGTACATAACACAGAAATAAAATAAATTAACAAACTAATCCGAATTGTCTATATATTAAGTAAATACGAAATCTGTTTAAAGTGATTCTTTCAGTAAAATATTATTTAAATTATTACAAATCTTCAATAATTCATAGTTACTCATAAATAAATAAAAATAAATTTACTAATACGGAAAACGGAAAAAAGAAAAATTAAACGAAGTCGCTTGCGCAGGGCGCGCAAAAAATGTTAATTTTATCGCAATAAATTAATGGCGCTCCTAATGGAACGGTATAAAAAATTAAATGGAATTGAAAACTAATAACCATACGTGCCTATTATTTTATTTAAATAAATGCATCTAAAGTTTATTCAAATAAATGGATACCGATTAATTTCAATTTTAATTTCACAAATTTAGATTAACCCTATAGGTGTTACGTATACCTGGTAGCTTCTGATCACGCACATTTAAGTACTTTGACATTAGTGATAAAACGGCCATTGCACTTAAATTTTTTAACGCCTGGCATTGTAATACCTTGCGTCATTGTCCATATGCAATTTTTACTATAAAAAAAAATAATTTATTGGCCATTACATATCGTAGGCAAAGGTATAACACAATTCTGAGATAATTAAAGTTAAATAAATAATTACCTACACATATTTTGCTTCATTCATCGTCAACAAAATTGTGCATATGATTAGATGTATAATTGCACATACATGACCGCTGACTAAAGATGCTCATAATATATTATCACCCATCTCTTTAATATGAGTCATTTTTAATTGTAACAATGTATAATTTTATTATTTCTTATTAACATTAGGAAAATGGTTTCTAGTTTCGCGCTAAACCAAATAGTTGTGCGTAACTAGATTCGGTTGCGTATAGTCACATATTGATAACGTGTTTTGACGTAGAACTAGGTTTCTTACTAGTGGTCAGCAATTACCTACAATAACAAAAACAATGAAGAGAAGGGATACTTGGAACGAATGCTTATTATTGTTTGTTTTAACTATTATATACGTCATTGCTTGTACATACGCTTTTAAATTGTGGTACTTTACTAATTAATACAATTATGCAAATATTCATGTGGTTTTACTCTTTCTAAGTAAACCCACATTACGTTTGGTTCGTAACTGGACTCTGTTGCGTGTCTCAGCGGTGGTCTATTTGTTGATAAATAAGACGTTTTGACGTAAATTAGGGATGTCACTGGTGGTTTGTGCACTAGAATAACAAAAACATTTTAAGAAGGTACATTGGACATTGTTTATTTGTAACTTGCGTAACATGTTACTATTTGTCATAAATCTAAGACTGAAACAACAAAACCGAATGAATAATACTTTTGTAATTTTTCTGTCATATAGTTATGGTTTTTCATAGTTATCAATTTGGTGTTCAATATTTTAACGGGAATTAATGTCATTATTTTGTATTGCATTTGAATGCAAATGATTATTAACTAGCTGTCATTTAAATGAATCAAGTTGCACTATGGTCGACCACAAAAGACACAGCATTGGTTAATTCTTACACTAAGACTTAAATTCACTTATCAGTTGCTTCCAATAAAATTAGGAGTTGGTTGAATGAGAAGAATACTGAATTAGGGTTAAGAACAAAAAATATGTGAATTAAAAATATAAATTTTGCGTCTGTCATCAAATTGAAATAAAAAACTAAATATAGATACATTACATTGCATTTTCCGAGGAATGACGTATTTATTCTACAATCTAACTTTTGATTGACAGTCAGATTGTGACCATCGTGTATCTGAACAAAAATTGATTATTTCATGATCGATCGGTCAATTAGATATCATGTCAATAGACACTTTAGACATAAGATTTAATACTTGAAGGTGTTGCAAGAACTGAATATACCTAACTTTTTCCAAAGTGAGACTTCATTGTATCTTTTGATTCATAATTCATACACATCTCTCGATCGAAACAAAACAAATCTCTCAGAAAAGTATAATAGTTCACCTTATAATTTTCACCCGAACACTTTTTCTCGAACAACTTCCAAATAAGAATTCTCTAATATAATTTTTCTACCAGGTGCACCACCACTGCCAGCTGTTGGAACCAAGAAGAATTCGTCCCGCCGCAATGCTTGGGGTAACCTCTCATATGCTGATCTCATTACCCGAGCCATCACTTCAGCACAGGACAACAGACTCACGTTGTCTCAAATATACGAGTGGATGGTTCAAAATGTGCCATATTTTAAGGATAAGGGAGATAGCAACTCGTCAGCTGGATGGAAGGTAGGATTTTGATTTGTTTTATCTAAACTTTCTTGTCCTTCAAAATACATAAGTATATCTAGTTATTGGCTAATGAAATCAGGAATCACACACGTACACAAGTCTATATTTCAATCATATTATTGTAAATAAAGGGAATAAAAGACTGATCGAAAAGGATATCTAATGTAAAATTGTAATTTGAATTATAGTATATTTATCTAGGCCGATACTAGAACGAAGCGACGCGATGTACAAAACTCATAACAGTTATTTGCAATTTTATTATAATATCAGACTAAAAATATAAATTGCCAATTATCTTGATTGACTTTTCAGTTTGAATTTCACTGATTGTTGGTTATTCTATTGCGGTTAGGCCACTATTTGACGAGCATAATTATTTGGTTTAATAACAGTTGTTAATTTAACAGCTAAATGCTACGTTTGATTCATTTGAACCATTAAATACATATTTTATTGAAATGATACTAAAACGTCAAAAGAGTAAAGTTTTGTGGTGAACATAATATATAGTTTAGAGAGATAATTCAGCATCATGTACTAAAAGACGCTGTAAATATTTCCAAAACATAAAATCTAAACGTGCCCGAATACACTGTTTACAAAATGATCAGAGATATTCTACGTATTGCACAGAAAGTAATTTAGAAAATATTCTAAGGGCATTCCTAAATATGAGTCATTCTGGCGTCTGTCCATCAGGTTGGCTCTTTGATACGAGAAGGTGGCATCATGCCATTTGGTGTGTTATATCGTGGTGTCTTATCTGGGCGCCTACATAGTGAGAGACAAATGAACCTTATATATTTAACGAAATATCATAATCATCCTACGTCACCTCACCTCACTAGCGATGATATGATAAAAGTACATTTACACTGCTTTTATAATATTTTGAAAGACTTGTAACGTCCAGTGTTCAGTACATTCCTCGTAGTCTTTTTTGGGCTACTAGCTGACATTGAATCCGGTGGGCGTTAACGCACACTCGCGCGTAAACATTAACACTATAGTTTAGAGGCGTCCGCGTTGGCGACTTAACGCAAACTGTTTGAACTCACGCCACGAATCGCGTTTTCCGCGTTCTCTACTGCCAATTTAATTGAAACAAATGTTGCATTGAGATTGCCGTTTTTAATTACAAGGAAGGAATTTTAATCTCCCGATATTACCCTGTATGAATTGAAGCAATGCTTGTATAGAATGAAAAGCAAGTACGCATTGGTTTCTTATAAATCTTGAATCAAACAATATTAATGAATGTATATTATGTAGCACATGTAGGTAACTACCTAAGTAATTCAAGATTAGATAATTAACTCGTCGAGTACCGGTTTTATAGACACAATTATAGAATAATAGGTTGCGGTCACCGGTGACCGCTTGCATGGTGTTTGACAGTTTAAGTAAAAGAGGTACTTGGTTTTTATTGATACATTGGTAAGGCATATGACCTCATTTCGTCTTCTTAAAGAAATAAAACTACACTTAACTCACCATAATCACATTCATTTAAAAATTGGCATTGACTAATATAGAGCAATATTTCTTTCACAAAAATTAAGGCATGTTACAAAGTAGCCTTCATGTCTTCATAAATATTTCTAAAGCGTTACGCATTTTTTGTGGAACTGCGCAGTGGCACACGTTATCCCAATCGGCTGTGACACGACCGATAAATGATAATAAAAACATTATATCACGCCCGATTTACAATCTTACTACGATGCTACCTCAAAACTTGCTATACATTGCTGTTATGCAATGCCCACTTTATTAACATACAGAACAAACACATCGATGGATAACGTTCACCACGTATAATTGTAGTATTGTTTATCTTGCGGTCACATGACGTTGACACGCCTTCGCTACGATGATGTTGAATAAAAAATATAAGACATGGAAGTATTCTGTCGCATTCGTAGAATGTTTTATATCTGTTACACGTACTTATTTTAATATTCGATTGAATCTATACGCTTGTCGAAGATTAGCGTAGAATACCACGAACTCGATGACCTTCGCCAGCGTACCCATGGCATTGATTAATGTTTACGCATACAATGCTCATTCAAGCTGCATGCGTCTTGGGCAATTATAACAATTGGAGTAGAGGCAATAAGGCCGAAAATTGAATGACAATGGCCCGTGTCATTGTAAGCTTAGTTAATTAGCAAACTGTTGAAGTCGTGCGTCACATTCTTAAATGACACGACTGATGTAAAATAAAAGAGACAGATGATATGACACCTTGTGAGGTGAATGAATCGTCAGTCGTATACACGTGCTTACTAATAACAACCATTTATTGTTAATTATGCACTTTCAAAGTTGTTATAAAATTATGTGTACTAAGAAAATTCCTGAAAGAAAATATCTTGTCAAGTCACTAGTCACTCGTGTAGCGTTACTTCAATTTGAAAGCGGTTTTCGAGTTGCGCATTCCTGTATACTTTTACACTTCGACAAAAATAACTTTACTGTTGCAAAGCTGAGTGGCGAGCCCACTACATCACGATATAGAATGCAAAGTCTCGATGCTCGGCAGCAATTATTAATTTGTCGTAGGTATACGCATACGCGGTTGTTACTAGACTGGTTTTAAACGTACCATTCGCTTAAAATAAAGTAAAAAAAAAATATAATTACAAAGGTGTATAGAAAAGTCAGTCGATTTTTTTGTATCATGAAAAATTTAGTCATTTCAAAATTGATTTGAATTAGTTACATTTTGGTAAAAGGTGTTAGGTATAATGATACATATTCATTTCCGAATGCGTAATTGTGAAATGTGTCGCCAAAGTGTCTCGTATTCGTATGTATATATTTGCCAGGGTTGTCAAAACAACTTATAATGTATATGTACAATTGAATCATATTTTTTTTATATTTTATATAAACAAATTAACTTCCCGGTGTTTACAAAAAGTTTGTTTATATATATATATTTGCAAAAGTACGAATGACATGTTTATGGTTTAGGTATCAATTTAATTGCAATGAAAAACAGAATAACAAAAACACTCTTTTGAGAAACCCGGGATTATGAGGTTTTGCTCCGATATGTGATACCATGAATTTGTAAATACATAACGATATTTGTCATCAATAAAATTTATAAAGCGAATTATGTGCGGTTAAATAACTAATGATTCAGCTGTTTTTCACTACGAACCGCAATAAGTATTAGCAATTTAAATTCATGTAGGTTAATCTGAATGACGTATTGTATATGTATTAATCAATTTAAGTATTCGAAATACATTGTAGAAACTAGTTTAGAAAATGTCTCAGGGACAATAATGAAAAATAGTTTTCATTAAACGTTAAATATCTCCTTAGTTTATTTAACACGTTTTTGTATGCGACATAAATCAATATACCCGTTGATATCCATCCCATAAATTTGGTCATACAAAAGTATTCTCTAAACATTATAAATAAGGTCTATAATGTAATGTAATATTAGTGGAAAGTGGTCACCGGTGACCGCTTGGGGATTTATGGGTTAAGAGGTACTGTACCTTTTTTATTAATTTATCACCAGAAAAAATTAAGTAAATATACAATTTACAATTCATTTTTTATGTAATTATTACACAATTTATTATTATATATATATTTCTTATAAAAAGGGTACACAATAGTATAAAAAATGGAGGTCACGGTAATTTGGCCTTATTGGGTACATATATACATATATAAATCCTAGTGATGCCGGATGTGTGAATAGAAGTTGTTTTTAGAACAAAAATTCGTATTCGCCGTATCGATGTCGCCGTGGGTCCAGTTGAATAGCAAATGAAGACTACCGTTACACGAGACCGTTAGCACACCTTCGCAATATCTCATATATATCCTTGCTAGGCTATCCATATACAAAAAAAAAACATTAATAGGTAATAGGTATAGGTTGTGGAAATCTTCTTGCTATGTGATTTGCACTATAAACGCTGGATACAGGTACTTCAAACTTGCTATTCTGCCAGTCATTGCAGAAGGCCTATTTTGGGCAATGGACGTCATTTGACTGATATGGTGATGATTATATTGAAAATCTTAGTTGTAACTTCTTCCTTTAAGGTATTTAGTCTCGACGTTAAGACTGTTTAATGGAAATTATGTCCATGTTATTGTGATGACGGTTGACGGTTTCCGTATTCAAATATAAATAATGCAACAAACTTTTGACCCAAATCTAAATATTGTAAATAAAACCTCCAGGATGGATCCGATTTGTAACAATTTTAGATTTTAAATGATACCAAAAACCTGAAATATAGTTAAAATACATTATCCCGAAGTCGTAATAAATCTAAAACTGGTCCAACTCGGAGATGCAATTAATAAATAATGAGAATTACTTAGAGACTACAAATATCGCTGTGTGAAACGTCTGATAAATAAAAATTCTAAATATATACGCGATTAATCCGGTTAAAAGCAGTTTCGTTGATGTATAGAGTTCTCGAAAGACTAAGATATTTCTATCTGCAAATAGTTTGCCTTATTAGATTTTTATAGCAAGAGTAACTTATTGTTTATAGAGAATAATTAATCACAGTATGTAATATATATTTTGCAATAATAATATGTCTAAGCTACACGCGTATAATATTAAATGAACATTACCTAATCGTAGGAAAATTCCAACCGAGACCTTTCTTAATAAGTAATTGAGGTTACATTGATTTACATGGACGCCATCTTGCTCCTCTGTTGATAACACTGAATGATATATTTTCACAGTGGTATATGTGACCGATAACAAAACCATATGACACTCATTCATATATTAAATTATGCTGTGGCCTGCGATATAGGCAAATGTGTACTTTATCTTTGTGAATCATTTATATAGATTTTTATTCAAAGAAAATGTTAGAACAGTTGTTTTCGAATTTCGATCACGAAACATACATAATATTATTGAATAAAAATTGATTATATAATGTACCAATCATCGTGATAATTTTTTGCCAACGATTTGATGG